TAGATCAGAGCATGTACACTGGTACAGATCAGAGCTGGAAACACAGTGAATCCAGGACAGATAAACCCCACAGGACCAATAATGAGAGCAGCGATACCAGGAGGGGAAGGGGGAGGGGAAGGTGGAAGAGAAAGGGGGAACGATCACAAGGATCTACATATAAGCCCCTCCCAGCGGGACGGACAACAGAAAAGTGGGTGAAGGGAGACATCGGACAGTGTAAGACATGAAAAAATAGTATTATTTATAAATTATCAAGGGTTCCTGAGGGAGGATAGAGAGGGAGGGGAAAAAATGAGGAGCTGATACCAAGGGCTCAAGTAGAAAGCAAATGTTTTGAGAATGATGGCAACAAATGTACAAATGTGCTTGACACAATGGATGGATGCATGGATTGAGATAAGAGTTATACGAGAGCTCCCAATAACATATTTTAAAATTAAAAATAAATAAACAAATGGAAATGAAACCCAAAAAAGAATGGAAAAATATTACACCTGTTTATTTTATTTCTAATCTTTTCAAACAACTGCCAACTCCCAACGGTTTAATATGGTTCCCTCCTGAGGAACCTTCAGGGACGAAGTGTTCTGCTGAGCTGTCATGGATAGCTAAAGGCTAAGACTGACCCTCTTGTTAAAAAGCTCCTTTCTTGTAAACAGAAGTTTGTGGTTATAAATATCCTTCAAATTAAGTACCTTCTGTCATGATCAGAACACTAGCAAACGCTTATGTAAGGCTGCTAACTACTAGGAACCATTCTCGTGATATGTACTGGTTAATGTTCACAACAACCCTGAAGGATCGTTACTGCTCTGATCATGCCCATTTGTCAGATTGTTCAACTAAGGCTGAGGGAGTTAAAATGACTTAAGGCCACTCATCAAAGTAGAAGAATGGACACATGTGGAGGATGGTGCTGGGGAAGGATAATGAAAGTACCTTGGACTGCCAAAAGAACAAACACATCTGTTGGAAGGACAGCTGAGGGCAATCTGGCTGCGACATCTGTCATCCCATTGATCGCCAGGGCTGACTCTGCTGGTCTGGCTGGCTAGGCAGGTGTCCCATTCCTCCCTCACCACTCCATGTGCGTCCCTCCCGAAGCTACATGCTTGGTTGAAGAGGACGACCTTCCCCTGGTAGAAAGAGGACCATCCTCCAGTCAAGGGTATATGAGTAGCTGCACTCCCCTGCTAGAACCTCCACACAAGTCTCAAGAATGTTCCTTACAGGCAACAATGGTGAGATCTCATGTACTTTGAGAATGTTGTCAGGGGAGACCAATCCCCGGAGAAGGACACCATGTTTGGTAAAGTAGCAGGGTATCAAAAAAAAAAGGAAGGCCATCCACAAGACTCATGGACGCAGCGGCTCCATCTATGAGCTCAAACATAGGAACAACTGTGAAGATGGCACAGGACTGGACAGGGTTTCGTTGTACATACGGTCCCTATGAGTCAGAACTGACTCGCGGGCACTAACAACAACAATAGCCTAATTTTGGAGACAAAGCCTTACTTAATCCCCTGGAGTACCGCTATCACAACTCAGTATTTTACAAATCAACTTACATTTAGCATTATTGCTAAACTTGGAACGGATTCTTCCTAGCGCTCCAGGAACTAAAATAACATCATCCACATTAGTCAGGTAATTGCTCAAGAACTCAGTTCTATCGCATGTGACATCTTCCATTCCTGTGGGGAGGAAAAAAACAACATGTTGGAAATACTTAAAATTAAAATCCTACTACAGGCACTAAAGATTCTGTGCCTTTTACTGGTTTTTAACAACTTCATTGGAATTTCCTTCTTTTTTGAGATTTCTTAACTTGACTTTTATCATTTCTCATGACCCTTTCTCTGATGCTTTCAAGAGAATCTGTAATTTGGCCACCTCATTTTGCAAGCACTAGAAGACTAATAATGCAGCCCCTGATGAGCATCTGAAGTCATTCACCAGATCTGCCAAGGCCAAGTAACCATGATTGTAAAAGATAATCTATTTACCCAGTCATTATGAAAAAGATCTATTTGCTACAAGAAAAATTTAGATTGCTTCAAAACTCTTCCCAGCTGGGGTGGTGTAAACAAATGGAATAGACAGTTCTGTATGTCTTTTACAAAATGTCATTCTCCAGCTTGCTCTTTAATGTATCTCCTGCCTTGAGCTCATAATCACTAGTCCTTGCATGCTCTCCACTGGTGGCCTTGGATGTTACTGACAAAACAATACTGGTAACAAGAGATGGGGGGGCGGGGGGGGGGAGAGTCAGTTCCTACTCCATCCCAACTGAGAAACAAAATAACCCTGACAAAGAGTTGTCAACAATGTAGTAAGTCAGAACTGAAGAGCTGATGGATAGAACTCAAAAAGCGGTCAACCTACAGCCATCAAGTCAATCCCAACTCACAGTGACCCCCATAGGACAGAGAAGACCTACCCCATTGGTTTTCCAAGGCTGTAGATCTATATGAAAGCACACTGCCTCCTCAGAGCTGCTGGTGGATTCAAACCACCGACCTTTTGGTTGGCAGCAGAGTGCTTGAGCTACGGCACAAGGCACAAGGCTACCAGGAAATGCTGTTAACCAGTAAACATTCCTCTTCCTCCTCCCCCAAATGAATTTCTTGCTGCCGGAAGGGGAATTGTTTAATCAATATTTTGTTTAGTTTTGTTATTAAAGTTAAAAGTCAGAAGCAATAGACACTGGGTGTGACATTTATTGTCATTTTTCTAAGTTTAAGTGTACATGGAACTATGAAAGTTTAAGGTGACACAAGAGGTGAGATGCTTGTCTACTAGCAGGAAGGCTGGCAGTTCAAACCCACCCAGAAGCACCTATCAAAAGCTTGGAGATCCACTTCCAGAAGTCCAGCCCTAATGATCCTATGGAACATAGTTTTACTCTGCACACCTGAGCTCCCAGGAAGTCAGAATCAACCTAACGACGACTGACAACAACCACGGGAAGGTTTCAAACTGCCCCTTTGCAATATCTAATGGCATGAATGGCCACTGCCCCTGTGAGTTTCTGAGACTGTAGCTGTTTATGGAAGTAGAAAGTCCTGTCTTTCTCCCAAGAAGTGGCTGGTGACTTCGAACTGCTGACGCTGCAGAGCAGCCCAACTTGGAAACACTGTACCACAGGATTCCTCTGGATATTCTCAAAATGGGAAGAATTGTTTTGTAAAGAAATATCCTAAAATTAGATAATAAACAAATACAAGGGGGCTTCATAAAATTCTTTGCAGGAGTTGCAGCAGGGGTGGGAGCGGGGATGAAATGAAAAGATAATGAAACTTTTCCAGAAATTTTTCCCAGAATCTTGCAGCCCTGGTGGTGTAGTGGCTTATGTGTTGGCCTGCTAATTACAAGGCCATCAGTTCAAAACCACCAGCTGCACCAAGGGAGAAAGACGAGCCCTTCTACTCTCATAAAGAGTGACAGTCTCCGACACTGTACACAGGAGCAGTTAGTTTGACCCTGTCCTACGGAGTCGCTCTGAGTCCAAACTGACTCAAAAGAACCTGAGTTTGGTTTGGGTTTTGTGTAACCCAGAGTAGTCAGAATCTGGAAAAATTCAAAGCATTCTATCCTGGGACACCACATCAGACCCTCTATATTTTTGTCCGATCTAATTGGAAGGAAGAGGAGAGAGAGAAATGTAGTCTGATGTTTAACTTTGAAACCCTCTGGGAGACAAATAAATGCACTGGATGTCCCTGGATACTACTTACGAGGCAGAGCATAAATCAAACTCCCTTGCCGATACTCTAAACACAAGACCATGCTGCCTTTTAAGAAAGACATGGCCTGGCCTGTCCAAACCAAAAAAAAACAGAGCCCCTCATCACATAGTCTACATATGGGCAAGATAAGGCTTTAATCAATCAGCGCCTCTATACTGCCCCAGTAGACTCCATGGGACACATCTACTTCTCAGCATGTGACCAAATGCTCTCGGGCCCTCAGGGCACCTTAAACAGAATCAGCTGTGATGTGTGCTCCACATTCCCTGTCCTGTCAGGGGAAATGTTAAGTCCAGAAGTAGACACTTAGGCCAGGCAGGTACGGCCCTCATTCCTGACAGAAGCATCACAGTTCCCACCCAAAGAGCCAGCCAATGTTCCCTCTCCCAAGCCTTCTGCTAGAAGGCAGCGGCCCAGCATTCCAGGGCCCCTATTTCACTCTGGACCTCTAGAACTCAATCTCCATTCCCGGGCAAAAAGCTCACTGTGGCTCCCTGCCCCAGCTCTGCAACCGAACAATATTTACGATGGATGCTCTTGATTAACAAGAACAGAAAGTTCTGTTTTAATATAAATTGGCTTAGAAAAACCATGAGGTGGAATTTTAATTCAACACCACACAGTAAAAATCATCGCTTCTTACTGCAGCAAGGTTCTCTCCCAGCTGGACCATAAGTTCCTTCCGACAAGGCTGGGGAATGGTTTTATCTACATGTTACTTCCCGGACAAGAATCCTATGTGTCTGTCTCCTTATCATATCTACATTTATTTTTCAGCCACGTCTTTGGGGATTTGTCTGGCAGTGAGGTCTTACGACCACCTGATAAGTCACATACACAGGAAAAGCCGCCCGCGTCCCAGCAAATGGCCCTTGACACTTTAATAAAAGACAGATTTGTGTGCAGAAGGCTTTCCTGGAAAGAAGGAAGAAGAAGACGCAGGTTGTGCCTGCTTTTGATCAAATTGCGTCCCTCTCGGACTTCTGAGTCGGGACTTGGTGACTACTTCTCCCACACCCCGACAAAGGAGGGCCCAAGCTTGGCTCAGAGAGCAGGGCTCCTTCACTCAACCCCCCTTTTCCAAGTCCCACAAACACCGTGCAGGGCTCCATTCTCGCAGCACAGAAACAAAGCTTTACCGTGATCTCCCACAAAGATGACGTTTACACAGCGATGCAGCTTTAATTGTTTCAGTCCGTCCATTAATTGCCCCACGGTTTTGTCAATTTCCCTCAGAGGATTTGTCATCTGAAAAAAGAAGCAAGTTAGTCCCTAGAGCGTTCCCCTCCCTCCCCTTTCCGCTTCTCACACGTTTGTCTTCTACCCCTTGAACATTCTGGGGGGGAAAACAAAAACAAACAAACAAAACAAACTTCAGGGCCCGAGGCAGAGCTTTGTCTGAGATTCGCCTGCCTTTCTTAACAGGAATCCGGCTTCCCCATTTTCCAGAGGATTAAAGTATCCCCTTGAAGTTTTATTTTGATTTGAAAGTAACAAATACTGGGGGCCTTCAAAACCTTTGGGAAGAAATCCCATTGTTGCTTACTTCCACTTTTCCATGAACCTTTTTTTGATGTCCCTTGTATTACGTAGGGATATTCTTTTTCAGAGACAAAGTGGCCTTCTTAGACGATAACCATGTGCTTTCAATGCAAGAAGGTGGAGAGTAACCGAAAGTCAGATAGATAGAATCCTCTTGTGCCCGGTGGTGAAATCACATGAGGATTTGAATCATGGCCTGAAGATGAAGACTATGTGAATCAAAAATGCAAAGGTAGCAGCTACAAGATGCTGGATTAGGACGCCATCAGCACCATGAGATCCACCAAGGTCCCAAGAGCTCCCCAGGGGCCTCGGGAGAGTGGATTCTCGAGAGAAGAACCTCTGCTCTAAGAAAGGAGCCGTTGCTTCTCAAGCGAACTCCTTCCTCTAAAAGACTGAGATGCTGCGTGAACTGAAGTCCACAAGAATTCTAACTTAAATGAAGTGAACCATTAAGTCTGTTCTAGAAGTTTTCCTATTTAGCCTTAAAAAGAAAGAAAACTCAGGTCTTCCCTGTAAAAAAGCAACTTCAAAGCCTCAGAAACATGATCCAGCTCTCATTTTCTCGGCTCAAATAGAAGCTTCTAACCACATGTGCGCTCCTACACTCGCACATATGGGAGGCTTTCCTTTAGCTCTCATTTCCAAGTAGGCCCTGGGAAGGTTTTCCAGAAGGATCCCATCAGACAAATAAATACTGGACCATACTTTCAGATGAAGTTTACAACCTTGCTACAACCAGGCACAAACACCCAAGATTACTGTGATAGGAACACACGAGCTCGCACGGCAGTTTACTCAGACACGCTTTATCTTCCACTAGGATCTTCTCAGATGAACAAGACCACTTTTCACACAAGATCATCAGAGAGACGAGGTGCAAATTATGCCTTCAAGACGGGCCAGTATTTCAAATCCTCCTGGGACGCGTGCACCACAACTGAAAGTTGCAGAGCTCTGTGCGAAGTGTAATCTGAATGGACCAACAGATGTGAAGCCAAGCAACATTCACTTCTGAGACACCAGTGTCCTTCTGAGGCTGTTTGGCTTACTCGCAGGGATCCCAAATGCACAACATATGTTGATCCTTGGCCAGGACTTCCTCTGCTTTACTCAGCAGGGCAACTCAAGTAAGACAATGCTGTGCCTGCTTCTAAGTCATCAAATCAGACAACCATAAATAAGACATTTCTTCAGAAGTATCTGGCTGTTTCAGGAAAGGCAGCAATGTATAGGAACTGCAAAGAAGCGAGTACTCACATCACTGTGAGAAGCAAAAACACACAATGGTTTCTGGCCATTGTTCTCTCGTTATTGCTATCTCAGCTGTCCCCTTGTGCAGAATCTAAGAACGTTTCGACCTCTGGAGGTACGGACCATTAATCGAGATCAATTCCCTATCAAGTTCTATCCTACAGTGTCTTTCCATAGTGCCAAGCTGGGTAATCATCCAGACATGGCAAAACCAACAGGCATTGTAACAGTTACACTAGTCTGAATGTTAATACTAGTAAGGGGACAACTAGCTGTAGAGAAAATAGAAGATCTTCCTTTCCAACCCTTCCCC